GAGGAGCCGCTTTCCCATCGTGGTGCTTGATGACCTCGTTACCAATGTGGCTTCTGTCGCATCCAAAGCAAACCCCATGGCCCACAAGAGGGGCCTGGCTTAGCAGAGTGCGTGGAGTGGGCGTCGGGGCTGTCGGGGGGGCTCTCCTCCGTGCCAGGCCAGAGCCTGGCCACACTGCCGCGGAGACTCCAGTGTGGCATCCAGGACTTGACTGACAGGGCCCCCGGGGCCAGTGGCTGTGCCAGGCCACAGGGCTCATCACCGACACAGAGACCGAGGGTCCTCCAGAGAATGGGGCTGGCCAAAGAGCACGTTGGCGTGGGCCAGATGGGGCACTGGCCAGAGGAGGTGGGGGTGGGGCGGAGCCACAGATTCTGTCCTTTTGTTTCCAATCCCAGAAACTTGGAGAACTTGTCGCAGTCAGACCTCAGTGTCAGGAAATTTTCGGGCACCCCATGTCCCTCATGGGGCTCCAGGGGAGGGAGCACCCTGTCACCCAAGCACACCCTCCCCATCTTCCAGGGAAGCAGCCCCAGAAGCTACCAGACCAAGCTCTCCCAGAAGTCCAGGGAGAGGAGTCCCACTCCACCAGGATGGCAGACTGGCGGGGGGGAAGCTGGGGCTCAGGTGCGCTGCCACAGGGTCCCGCGCCCCTTGGCTGGGGCTCGGCTGCCCATGTGCCGCACCCCCTCCCCCACCGTGGGACAAGGAGAGCGGTGCCGAAAGCGCTCTGCGAAGGCAACTCGGCCACCACCTCTGCCATGGAGCAGGGCCTCAGGTGGCCTAGAGACAAGGGCGAGCTGCCCAGGGAGGGCTTTAGGGCCGCAGACACGGGCTCAGGCTCCAGGTGAGCCCCTCGCTCCTCACAGAGACCCCTCCAGCCACTCTCAGCCAGGTCTCCAGGACCAGTGTTAATTGAGCCCCGTGCGCCCAGCCCTTGGCTCCCAGCCAGCCTCAGAGGCTCTCTTGTTAGGGAGCACCCCGGGACCCGGTGTCACGGGACAGGAAAGTGCCAGGTAGGCACACAGAGGGTGGCCGAGGCTCCCCAGGGGAGACTACACTGAGCAGGAGGGGTGGGGGCCCAGCTATAGAAGGGCCTGCGCCCACCTCAGGGCATCACCATGTCTCCAGGCCCAGGGGTGCAGCCATCGAGGTCCCCAGTGCCACCTCAGGCAGATAGCAGTGGGGAGAGCAGCCTCTCCCCTCTGCGCCCAGACTGACCGAGCCAGCCAGGTGAGGAGGCCTTGCTGCAGTGTCAGCTGCCCCAAGCACGGCCGTCTTTGCAGGCTGCAGTAGTCGCAGCCCAAAAGCAGGCCCTGGAGGGTGGGGAGGCTGAGGGGCAGGCGGGTCCCCTCTGCATGGCCACAGACTCCGTGGGGACCAGGGGCCTGGTCAGAGATGGGAAGTTGAAGGGCTGTGACTACACTAAGAGGTGTGAGCACCTGCACGTCCAAGCCAGAAGGACGGCCCGGCGCTGAGCAGGTCTTGGACAGTCACACTGGGTCCCATTCTGCAGCGCCCAGTGTCCCACTCGCTGAGGCACAGGAGCCCTGTAGGGCTCCAGATGGTGGATGGGGCCAGTGTGAAGCTCACTAGAGACTGAGCCCCCATGGGGTCTCCACAGCAGGAGAGATGTGGGCCCCGAGGCGTCCGACCCCTGCACTTCCGCAGCCCCAGTCTGCACTTCCCAGCCCTCAGCAGGAAACAGCACTCTGGTGAGGAGCCCTCGACCTCCGAGGACCCTCTGGATCCAGGCCTCCCTCCTGCCCAGCTGCACCAGGGAGACGTTCTTTGATCGCAGTGGCTCCAGAGGCAGGAACGGTCAGGGGGCAGGAGGGGGCACAGGCTGTCGTCAGGGACAAGCCTCGCAGCCTTGCGCAGCCTCCAGCTCCCTGTGATCAGCAGTGGGGAGCAGCCAGGACATCGGGTGAGGAGAGGACAGCAGGGCTACATCACTGCCTCCGTCCCCACCTGGCTACAGCCCCAAGGGTCACCACCTTCACTTTCAGAGGCAGCACTGGCCCTGCCAGGCACACTGCAGAGGCAGGTGACACTCACCCTGGGACAATGTCTCTCCCTCATCTTGTTTGTCAGGAATTTCTCAAGAGTTAAAATTAAACCAATGAGCAGCCAGGCATGGTGGTGCCTGCCTGTAATCCCAGCACTTGGAAGGCTGAGGCAGAAGGATGGTTTGGGAGTTCGAGACCAGTTTGGGCTGCAAAGTGAGCTCAAGACCAGCCTGAACTGCATGGTGAGACCCTGTCTCAAAAAGGCAAAAAAAAAAAATTAAACCACGGAGGGAAAGGCCCCTTGGGACAGAGGCGGTGTGGGCCTACAGGATGCGCACTGAGGGCGACCCCAGGTGACGGCAGCCAGCGTCCTCAAGGGGCTGCCTGGTCCACACCGTGGGCACACAGGCAGACTGCTCTCCCTACGAAGACGCAGACTAACTGCTTGGTCCACTCAGGGGAGCAGGGCCTGCCAGCCCCACCCAGACAATCACAGACAGCCAGGCCTGGCCCTGGGTGCCTAGCTGAACTTCAGATTAAGGAGCAAACCCTTTGGGCACAGGCAGGAAAGGCCGGAAGCCCCACAGGGCGGCAGATGAGTCAGCATCCCTCTTGCAGGTGGGTCAGGAAGAGGACAGCCCAGCAGGTCCTGAGAGCGCAACAGCAGTGTCAGGGATGGACCAGGACACACAGGTGGGAATGCACACTGGCTGTCAAAGCACTCTGGGAGGTCTGGCCCTGGCAAGGCAGTGACCTAATGAGACTGTCTCTAAATAAATAATCAAAGTGTTAAAAGCAGAGGCCTGAGGATGTGGCTCACTGCAAAGACCCTATGTTCTATGACACCCAGTGTAGCAAAATAAAAAAGAAGGGCAGCTTCCAAGAAGAGCCAGAGGCTGCAGGCTGTGCTGGGTGTGAGAGATCATGGATGTGGGACACAGGATCCACACACCAGCGAGCAAAAGGTGGGAGACTGCTCCAGGGCCGCTGCCACGGAATTCAATGAGGACTCCCAAAAAAGGGGTGCAGGGCATGGGGCTCAAGAGGAGAAGTAAGACAGAGGCTGTGGGGCTCTGGGCACTGCGTGTGGCTGTGCACTGAAGGATGGTCTAGTCCTCGGGAAATACGCCTCTTGCTGCAGAGCCCCCACCGCACACCTGCTGAGCCGCTATTGTCCAAACCAGCTGGACCCTGGCAGGGAAGTGAATGAGCTCTGCTGCCACCCACTGGGGACTGAGCAAGACAGAGACACCTGAGCACCTTAGGGCAGAACTGACTGCTCCGGACCACAACCCCACACCCAGTGTACTGGCCGGAGCGAAGGCCCCTGCACACAGCAGGTACTGCAGCACCACGTACAATACCTCCAAAGTGGACTGGCCAGCCCAGGGCCTCAAAGGGAATGGATGAAGGTCATGAGCCGACGCACCCTGGAACAGCAGTCAGGCATAAAGAAGGCGAAAGCAGGCCAATTACGGCAACACGGAGCTGGAGGCCATCGTGGTAAGGGAAATAGGCCAGACGGCAAGGACAGCACAGTACGCTCCCGCTCTAGGTGTGTGGAGGCTAGAGAAAGCAGGCCTCAGAGGAAGCAGCAGCCACAGGCTGTGGAGGAGGGCAGCAGCAGGGCGTGGCCAGGCAGGCTGCGTGCAGGTGTGGCACTGCCGCACAGAGCTGCGCCCTGGCCACGCGGGCCCCGGGCCGGTGGGCGCTTGGCTTCGGCGAGGTGGGACTCGCACTTTCTTGTGCCCTCCCCCATCCTGTCCCCTGCCTGTGAGAAAGACCACCCCACTTCCGGTTGTCCTTCTTCCTTTGCTCTTTACGCTATAGGTTCTCAGATAAGAGAAACCCCACGCTGTTGAGCTGTAGGTTGGGCTCAGTCCTCTCCCGCGACGGTCTCGACACCCACTGGTGCAGCTCCTGCGCAGAGAGCAACCCGCGCTGCAGAAGGGTTCTCCTAGATCAGTTCACAGGCTCCGGAGCGGATGGGTGGTGGCGTCTTCACTGGGAACTTTGGAACATGGTAGCAAGCAGCGCTCAGCCTTGAAACCCCAGAAGCAAAGGCGAGGCGCAGTCTCACACCTGCAGATCTGAGCTGCCTTCACCTGCAGCTGACAAAGGACCTCAGCAGGAAGACACCATGACAGCTGCAATCTCGGCGCTTGGGAGGCTGAGGCAGGACTTCCATGAATTCAAGTTCAGCCTGGACCACACAGAGGGACTCTGTCTTGAAAGAAAAGAAAAGGAGCCGCGAATACACAGTGGCAGCAGAGGGGTCCAGAATCAGGTCGCCTGGGTCCTCCCAAGATCAGAGCTGACAGCAGCTCTCAAGCACCAAGCAGGGGGAGAAGAATGCAGACTCCGACCAGCCTCAGCTGCTTCCCGGCGTCCGCAGCTGCCTGCTGCACCTGAGGCTCCACGCAGCAGGGCCTCACTCAGGGTGGTAGCCAGGCCAGGCATGGGTGTTGTGTCTCAGCTGCTCACTGCAGGCACACAGAGGTCTGGAGCTGTGCTGTTTGCACTGCTGACATGCATGGCCCAGCTCGAAGGTGTGAGGATGGACGAGTGTGGCCTGGGTCGAGCCCTTACCAGGGGCCGGGTGCCAGCTAGGCCAGGGGTGGCTGCATACAAAGTCCCTGCTTGCTGAGCCCTGGTGCTGGGTGTCACCAGCACCCCCCATGGCAGGAGAAAGCGTGGAGCTAAGAAGCCTCACAGGTGGCATCACCCATGCAGAAGGCTTTCGTCCCTCGCTGTCCCTGCCAGCTCGATTCTACATCAGCAGCAAGTGCTTCCTCCCACTTTCAACAACAGGGATGAACACGGAAGCTTGGGAGAATGGAGAGGCTCAGAGGAGTCACAGAGTGGGCAGGGAGGCCACAGGTCAGGTCCCAAACTGGGCAGGGTGGGGTCAGCACTGGGGACAGTTGCCCACACCTCAGCAGGTTCTCACCCAGTGTGTCTAACCCTTCACAGGGCCCGAGATGCCACGCCATGAGGAGGGACAACCACAGCCTCCTGGAACAGCCCCCTTGGGACTTTGTCCTGCTGGGCATCTCTGACTGCCCATGGCTGGAGCTGCCTCTCTTCGTGGTGCTCCTGGTGTCCTACATCCTGGCCATGCTGGGGAACATCTCCATCATCCTGCTGTCCCGGTTGGACCCCCGCCTGGGCAGCCCCATGTATGTCTTCCTGAGTCACCTGTCCTTCCTGGACCTCTGTTACACAACCACCACGGTGCCGCAGATGCTTGTCAACTTGGGCACACCCCACAAGACTATCAGCTTCGGTGGCTGCTCGGTGCAGTACGCCATCTTTCACTGGCTGGGCTGCACAGAGTGCGTGGTTTTGGCCGCCATGGCCCTGGACCGCTACGTGGCCATCTGCCGGCCCCTGCGCTACACGCTGATCATGCACAGCACGCTCTGCCGGCGCCTGGTGGCCCTGGCCTGGCTCAGCGGCTTTGGCAACTCCCTGGTACAGGTGGCACTGACGGTGCAGCTGCCCTTCTGTGGGCAGCGCATGCTGAACAACTTCTTCTGTGAGGTGCCGGCCATGATCAAGCTGTCATGTGCCGACACGGCTGTGAACGACACCACGCTGGCGGTGCTGGTGGCCTTCTTTGTGCTGGTACCCCTGGCCCTCATCCTGTTGTCCTATGGCCTCATCGCCCGTGCCGTGCTCAGGATCCGGGCCTCCTCAGGCAGGCACAAGGCCCTGGGGACCTGCTCGTCCCACCTAGCTGTGGTGTCCCTCTTCTACCTGCCTGCCATCTACATGTACTTGCAGCCTCCCTCCCGCTACTCGCAGGAGCAGGGCAAATTCATCTCCCTCTTCTACTCCATCATCACCCCCACCCTCAACCCCTTCATCTACACACTGAGGAACAAGGATGTGAAGGGCGCCCTCCGGAGGCTACTGGCCCAAACCTGCCGGCTCTGTGGGCTCTGAGTGCCCTGCTGCAGTCATCACGGGCGAAAACGTGGGGCCCATGTGCCACGGCACTTGGCCCCAGGGACTTTGCAGCCATGCAGTGAGGACCTAGGGAGTGGCTCTGACCACCCACCCACACCTCCCACTCCTGTGTGGTCACAGTGCCTGAGAGCCCTGTCTGCAGCAAGGTGGCTTCCGAGGGCACCACACTAAGAGCTGGGTGTTCTCAACAACTGCTCCAGTGGCCCGCTGCTCAGTAGCGCCTGCTGGTCTAACCCTAGTTCACCGTTCTTTCCCTTCTTCCTCCTCCTGGGTGTCTTCTGCTTTTCTCCCTCTTCCGTTTCCAAGCTTCTTTCTCCCTTCCCTGTTTCTCCCAAGCACACTGAATGTGACTCTAAGATGGGTCTCACTTACAATAAACGGGTGTTCTCAAGGGTTTAAACCTCCATAAGCTTCGTACAACTTTTCAAAGTATGACAAGAATGGAGCGAGTTGCTTTCTTCTTTTTTGACATAGATGATGTTGTTCTCTCTTGGTCCCCTTCTGTAGAAGGGTTTTCCACACTGACTGGGCTCGAGCACTGGTAAAACTACGACGGGGGAACTCTGCCGGGTCCACAGTACAAATGAATATAGTGCAAGCTCTTATGTTTAGAAAGATAATATAAATGCAATTAATACCAAGGGCAATAGAAACAGCTAATAAAAGGTTCAAGGGCTGGAGTGCAGCTCAGGCAAGACACTCTCAGCACTGGGAAGCCCCAGGCACCCTCGGCAGCACCACACACACGCGGGTACACACACACAGGCACACAGGCAGGCACACAGGGACACGCATGCACACACGCACATACGGAGAAAGGTTGTGATGACAGCTGACCTTGTAGGCAGCTTCTGAGAGGCCAGCAGCGTGGAAGTGCACTCGTGCACACACGGGCCCGCTTGGCGCAGAGAGCCCCGCCGCGCAGCCCAGACACGAGTCCCGTCCTCGGGGCTGGTGTGAGAGCTGCACCGCCAGCCTGCACCAGCGTGGCTGGGGTTTCGCCCCCTGGGGGCTGCGGGAGCTGCGGCCTCACCACGCCCTCACTGGTGCCTGCTTAGAGGCCGGAGCCGGGTTCTCGTGCTTTGCACCCGCATTCCCTCCTCCGTGTTACAGAATCATTTCTGTGTGCTTTCTTGCTCCTCCCGGGCCTGGACATGCCACACAGTAACGGAGCCAGTCTGGAAAACCACAGTGAACATGAAAATGAGGCAGAGAGGAAAACGGAGGAAGGCATGCTGGGGGCAGAGGAAAAGGAATTCAAATCACAATACTATACGATTATTTGAGAAATACGAACAAATGACTACTGCCCGGGGTACCAAGGCCACAGAGGGTTTTCCTGACAGTCATGCGATGTGCACAGAATTTCCTGGCAGGAGAGACCGGGGCCAGGCTGTGGCTTTGCAGAGGTGGCCTCAGGCCATCACCACTGATAAAGCAGTGTGACAAGCTCAGGGAGGCAGGCACACCCAGCAGATAAAGCCACCACACCCCAGGAGATGTGGGGACCTGGGAAGATGCTTCTGCAGACACTTCCATACCTCCCAAAGCTGGGGGAGGGGCATTTGAATAGCTAGCAGATGAGCAGCCTGGGCCTGTTCGCAGGACACGCAGATAGGTGGCAGAGAACTAGATGAGCCTTTAGAGTGAGACGCAGACTGTGCTTTTGGTGACACCCTGTGGACATCTGGGGACACTGCAGGTCACCTCTGCTGCAGGGGACCCGGTGGTGCCCTCAAAAGATGAGGGGGAGACTTAAGAGACCCCACAAGCCCCACTATTGCGGAACCTGCGCAGCAGTTAGGGCAGACCCACCACCCTCGGGAAATGACCCCTGGGACCGGGCAGGCTCCTGCCAGGCTGTGAGTCCAGAGGCTTGGAGAGGGCAGCGGTTGCTGCAGCGCTCCTGTGCTGCCTCCTTTCTCCAAGGTGTGGACAGCAGCCACGAGAGTGGAGAGGTGGGAGCATATCTGGATCACAGGGAAACAGTGTCCCAGGCATCATCAATAAAGGAAGATTCAAGAATTTTCTGACAAAGTTTCAAAATAGTCATCATGGAAATATACAGCAAACCAAGGCATGATACATGAACAAAATGAGTTTTAAAAAGATACAGAAAATATAAAAAAGAACCAAATAAGTTTGGAACCAAGTGCATAATTCATTAGAGGGGCCCAAAAAAGACAGGATCAAACAAAAGAAAGACTCAATGAACCTGAAACCAAAGGCACTTGAAATTAAACATTGAGAAAAATGAGGATTAGAAAGAAACAAGAGGGCCTACAGTGACCCTGGCATGTGTTATAAAACTAATCAGAAAAGCAGAGAAAATGCCAGAGACTCATAATCAGGAAATAGCCCAAAATTTCCCAAAACTGGTGTAGGAAGTGGACAAGATCCTGAAATTGCAATGAATCTCACTACCACAAATCCCAAAAGAGCCACATCTGGACATAATGCGCTCACATGGTCAAAGGCAAAGCAAAGGATTCTTAAAGAAGCTGAGGAAAAGAGACTCCCTGTGCTCAAAGGAACCATGTGATTCTTGCAACAAATTTCCCGGCAGACACTGCAGACAAGAGGAGTTGTATGGTGCACTGCAAGTGCTGAGAGGAAAAACGCCCAGAGGAATCCAGTATCTGACAAAATCATCCTTGGAAGTGAGTGAAAGTTTAAGACCTTCCCAGCTAGGTGTGCTAGCACACATCTGTAACACCAGCACTGGGAGCCCGAGACAGGAAGATCGCTGAGAGCTTAAGGCCAACCTGGACTATATAGTGAAACCCTGTATCAAAGAGACCTTCCTACATGAAAGCAAAATCAGGGAGGATTCCTCACCACTAGATCAACCTTCCAGGAAGTGTCAGAGGGCTACTCAAAGCCGAAAGAAAATAAAGGCCACACAGCAAGCAAAGAAGCATGCAAAAGGAGAGGGATAAATTGGCAGGAAAATGCAGCTGCGGCACAGCTCGGGTGTGGCATGCGGACCGCTCTTAGTGCTGGACAGAAGCTAAACAACAAAAGCACAAAAGAACATGAATGAGCAATACTCATAGATATAAAAAAGTAAAAAATAAAACTTTAATTTTAAAAAGATATGATTTGTGGCATCAAAAACATAAGCTGTTGGGACAGAATTTTAGTACAAACTTTTGTGTACAAGTCAGGTTAATTTCTGCCTCCTTCAAAAAAGATTGTTAATCACTAAGAGACGGTTTTTATGACTCCCGCTGAGAAAAAGATACCAGTGCATGTCAGTATAATAAATAAGTAAAACATAAGAGAAGGCGAGAGGGACACAGAGCTGCCACAGTCGATCAATAATAACAGCCCTCAGCTACTGCAGGCTGGTCAGGCCCACAACCTCCAAAACAAGTGGATGGTGAAGGCTTAAATAAATGAGACAGGTGGTACGATTTTAGGACTCGGGAGGTTCAAAAACCCTTTCACAGCTTTCTAGATTTTCTAGTTTCTGACTAAGAATTTTTCTGGGCTCATATTTATTTGGTTTTTAAACAACAGAAGAAGATACTGAAGAACACGCAGGAATCTAGCAGGACCTTGCGAAATATTTTCCCAAGTAGCGAGTTATGCCGAGCCAGAGAACTGCTTTATCTTCGGGTTGACTTTTAGTGTAGGAGTGTGCAGTCTCCTTTAGTTAATTGGGGTTGGAGCCTCAGCTGTGGCCTTCCCTTGTCCTTGAGGCATCCCAGCTTCACAGGGCGGTACAGGCCTCAGCAGGACTGCGACTCTCAGAGGCTCACTTACTATGATTCGGCTGCCCACCCCGACAAGAGCCAAAGCCCCAGGCAGACTCTCAGGTAAATGCAAAAAGCCAGTCGGTGACTATTAAATCCCGCTCAGAGCTGCTCCCCAAGACAAGTGTCAGAGTCCCTCCTGCCTCAGCCTCTGTTGACATGGGAGCACAGGTAGCACCCGTGGCCACCTGAGGAGACTCACTCTAGCATATGGCTATGGGCACGGGCGGAGAGGAAGCAAGGCGGTGCCGTGGCCACACAAGTCAGAGCGCATCAACATTCAGTGAAAACCTACCACAATTGAAGAAAAACACTATATACTGATGGGAGAGTCAAGTGATCAAAATTATACACACACATGCACTGATGCCACATGTGAGGCAGCAGCTGTGGACGGAACCGGGAGAGCACGCAGTGGCGAAGGTGCAGGAAGTCTCGGTGCCCCCGCGTTCAGCTGCAAGGACCCCCAAAGAAAGCGGGCACACTGCCTTCCACAGCCACACAGAAGATTTTCCGAAACATACACCATGCTGAGTCAGCCGCAAAACACGTTTGTCAGCAAGTTGGGAAAGACTGAAACTCTCCAAGTGCCTTTCCCAACTACAGAGTGAGGTTAGCAGTAAATAAAGGGGGAGTCCCAGCCAGAGCAACTAGATGCATGTGGAGAGACAAGGAGTAAACCTGCTTACTTGTAAATACGGAGATCTTGTACATACAAAGCCCTAAATATTATACACACACACACACACACACACACACACACAACTAGTAGGATTAATACAGGGACATCATAGGACACAAAAACTACACTTTCATACATGAACAATGAACTATTTAAAAAGGAAAATGAGGAAACAATCTCAGATACAATACCATCAAAAGAACAAATTCTTTACAAACGTACACAGTCAAAAGACGACTGCAAACTGTAACATAAATACTGATGGAAGAAACCAAGACGCAAACCCCAAGGTGTCCAGACTCGTGATTTGGGAGAGGGAACGCTGCTAAAGCATCTGCCCTGCTCAGCAGTCAGGAGACTCAGTGTGACCCGTGTCAGCGTGCCAGAGACGGGCCTGACGTGCACGGAGAGGCCTTCCCTACA